CGCCAACATCGCCCGCACGAGGCAGCCGAGCTTCCTTCTGTATAAAGATCGTCGAATTTTATATTATTCAGAGACGTACACTCATACAATCCGCATTGGTCGGTCAGTTGCGCGTGAAAATTTCTCTCCCTCCAACTCCTAAAGTAGATGAGTCGCAACAATATTATATATATGCGGTATTATGTGTAAGAGCGACTCGGTGTCGCCGCGACTCATAACTGCACCACCACAACTATGCGCACGCGACGTATATATATAGACCGAGCTCGAATTCCATATTATAAAATTTATGCACATTGTAGGAGCACGCCTGCAGTGCGCGTGGATAACGGTACCGCGACGGGATTATTTTCATTCCATGTGTGTGTTTATGCACGCGAGGCTTCAAACTCGCGCGCCGATCGTGTTTGTAATTAGCGATCATATACATTTTGAATGTCTATAAGCTAGCGCGATATTAACAATCGTCGCGTTTGTTTTCGCCCATCTGGTCTGAGAGCTTAGCTTTGAACTTCTACACCAAGATATTTCCTCGAGTAAACAGCATTCTCGCGTAGTACTGACAAATTGATACATCGATCACGTATAACTTTTGATTCCACAATTTCCCGCTCCCCTAAACACTGTCTAGTGGGCTGGTAGACGGTGGCGCGCGAGTGAGCGAGCGTTGAAATAAAAATCAGATTTCATATCGCGCGCCAGGCACATTATACATACGAAATGAAGAAGGCAAAGGAGAGGAGCAAACGAGACGAGAGAGAAAAAACATTCGTCTCGACGTCGCTCGCGATATTACATAATTGAAGGGTGTCGAAATTATAATTTTCCGGTCACTGAGGAAAGAGTCCCGCACGTATATACGTATATATGGCGTTATATATTTTTATTCGCAGCGCGAGAAGGAAAAAGCTAGTCGCTACTCTCCTTCTCTCATATTTATGTATAAGACATTACGCCTGAGTGGTGACGTCTCCTCTACGCAGCATCATCGCACATGTTCAGCGCATACACGGCGCGGCAGCGGCAGTCGTGCCTGCACGCCTGTGTATCGTCTACGCTGGCTCTCCTCTTGTTCGCGTATTCTCTTTGTCGGAGCGGAGATGTATGTGATCCTGCACCATATGTGTCTCCTCCAGCACGTCTACGCATATATTTGCGCGTGTATATGCGTGCGCGTTTGTATTTATGTATAATAAACGCGTCAAATTTCGCCTTTCTCGCACTTGGAAGAGAGATATCGCTAAATAATTCGCGAGCGGCACGTGTACGCGCCGTGGCTGGATAGGCCGCTCCCCACGTAAGCAGCGCCAGTACGATTATCACGGGCCAATACTGGCACAATACTGGCTGTCAGTACTGGTTTTTTTTCATCTTGGTCCAGTACTGGCTGGATACTGGAATTATAACAGTAAATCAGTACTGGCAGCCAGTATTATGCCAGTACTGACCCAATATCAGGTGCCATTATCGAGCCAGTATCAAAAAAATATTTTTTATTCAACATTGGTATCCAGTACTGGCCCAAGATTGTGCAGAGTGTGGGTCAATACTGGCTGCCAGTACTGATTTACTGTTATAATTCCAGTATCCAACCAGTACTGGTCCATCATTGATTCCAGTACTGACAGCGTTGGTGTCAGTACTGGCCCAGCACTGGTCCACGATGAGATAGCTACGTGGGTTGCTTGTGCGCATGTTTTCAACGAAAAAAATCGTATGGTTTCTACCGTGACTTTCGTATCGCAGGAAAAATCGTGAAAACGCTGTATAATTAGTCGAATCTAAATTTTTCAATATTTTACTGAATCTCAGAAACTCTTGATTTCTCGAAAAATACAGACTCTTTTCATCTATAGCACACCTATGAAATATGCGATCAAGACTGTCGTCGCACCGAGCGCGCGTATAATATAGACACTCCGGGGACGCAATAAATCAAGGTTGAAAAAACAAAGCTGCCACTCGCAGGCATATATATCCGAGAGAAAGAAGGGGAAAAAAAAGAGGAATCAAGTTTTAATTTGCACCAAAGGAACAGAAGCTGGAATTGCCATCGCTGCGCACCGGCTCTGTGTGTGGGTGGGTGTCTATACACGCATACACAGATATATCCAGAGAGCCGAACGGAGCGGTACAGAGTGCGCAATGCAAATTTACGCGGAATAAGCTTTTCGCGCGCTGCACAGCCAGTGGCAGCAGCAGTACTGGTGGAGGCGAAATCGTGGTGACGAATTACCTTGACTGAGGGTGTGCAGTGTATACGCGGTGTGTCTGTATAGGTGCGCGCCTCTGTAGTGCACTGCAGTATATATACGATATAGGCCATTCCGAGTCGTAAGTAAATACAAGTGAACGAAGCGAGAGAGAGAGAGCCGTGTGCCACGGGCGCGCACGTCTGTGCTGCGTTACCGCGTGCATCAAACCCCTCCGAAAACGAACGCCACGCGCTATACTCTCGCCAGCACGTACAGACGACGACGACGACGACTGCGGAAATGCCGGAATTTCGAGTGTGGCAGGCCAGATTGATTGGATGATTGAGTAATTTATGTGCGCCGCGCTGCAGAAGCTTAAAACGAGAAAGATAGGAAAGAAGCTACTCCTATCCTCGTACGTTGTATGGCACCGCTTGCCGATTTTTATACCTGCATTAAACGAGCTATCCGACTAAATTTCTGACTCGACGCGCCGAGACGATATCGAATTACGCACCTTGCCCTTGGTAATCAACGCGCTGCCAACTAATTCGAATTCGCCGCCACCAATATTCTCGACCAATGGAATTAAGAAAAAAAATAGTCCGATACTCGTGCCCGCTTGTTTGGTTGAGGTCGGGGGAAATTGGATGGAGCAGCTCTCTCGCCCTCTTCGTCGCATTCGAAAATTCGCGCAGCGAATCAGTCATCCTTCTCAAGATTCAATTATCCTTGCAATGCTCGTGACTAAAGACGACGATGCCACAACAGCAGCAGCAGCTCCTTGCCTTCTCTGTATATATATACGCACGAGTCAACCTATCCTGTGTGCGTACATATATTTGGTACAACATATAGACGTCGGCGAATCGAAACAAGAGACGTTGCTACTCGAGTACACACGGATGGCAGCTGGATATAGACGTAGTGTGTATAAGCACGCAGAGGGGCAAAGGTGGGTGGGGAGGGTTAAGAGTGACAGGAGGTCGAGTGAGATCGGTCAACTGGTCGTATCGATCCCATTTCCGGCTGGCCATCAAAAGGAAATTGCTACTTCATCAGCTAAATCTCCCGCCCTCTGCTACGTCTCGCCCATCCCTTATATATACCGTACGACCTCTCTCGCTCTCTCGTACTCTGACTGCGTGTGTGTGTGTGTACGTGTATATGCGCGACTATAGCCTATAGCCTATAGTCTATGTCTCGGCTCTCTAATAGTATATACGTACACAAAGATTAATGTATCTCTCTCTCTGTCTGCCTCGAAATTTCCCATTTCCAGAGAGCCCAGCTATTGTCTATTAGACCTCTCTCTCTTACTCTCTATCTCTTACCCTCGCGCGCATTCACAAAATCCTTGCGATGCTCTCTCGCAGCAGAAGCAGCAGTTACGATATCGCATTTCTCGAGAATAATTAGTATCCTCTTCTGTCCTGATGTCCGTCGCGCCAAGTTTGCTGCTACCGCCGCCGCCGCCACCACTGCTTCGGTTCTACAGCTTTGTTGTTTTCTCCTGGTGTATGTATATATTCACGACGCCGACCTAATACGACAGTTTCGCTCTTTGGAGCACGAGCCCTGAGTAACAAAGGCTTATGTTTAGAAATGTGGAATTGAGACGTCCTCGGCGTCATTGCGTAATTTTTACGCGCCGAACTTAAGCTTTGACATCGATGTTATAAAGACAGTTGTGAAAGTTAAATTTGTTCCGCTTATTTTATTCGGTTAATTTAGGACTCGGAGGCATTATGCATTCCTCAGCTGAACGTAGCCGTCGAAAAAGGAAATAAGAGCTGTACTTGCATGTGTACAGCTGTTGGATGTTTTATCAACCGATGTTCTTCGGTTTGATACGTACGAAGCTCAGTGATGCGGAAGAGAAGGCAGATGCGATATATTTTACATGCATCATAACCAGATACTATTTATTCGCTCGTTGCACTTTGAGTTTTTTCTACCTGAATTTGATTCCGTAAGAAAATTAATTCAAAAAGGTCAAATATTTGTCAAGAAGTTAATGAAAAGTACTGTTTAACGTGTAAACGCCGCTTGCTCGCGCTTGCGCGTCCGACTAAAGTAGACTATTTCTACTGTTTGAATTAATTCTTTCTCGTTTGGAAAGATAGCACCTTTGCGATATTTCCATTAACTTTTCTTCAGGTTGTACAACGCTCCCTTACAATTACATCTCTTTGTTCTTGAATAGATTTTCATCTTGCATTTTTAAGTGCGCCTATGTAACTCGTCTACGAGGACATTTAAAATATAGTCTCTTAAAAAAGTGATGTTCTGATCGTGGGATTGAAATAAATATGTTGTGATTGTACATAGTTTATTCGTGCAGAGCTTGTTGAATGAAGGCTAGCTTATATATCTATAAAATTATTATGATTTGTAAAACTAAGAGGGAGTTATAGTCGTGAGATGTGCATTGCATGATGCTGGTATAAGTAAATAAACCGTGACATTTCACCTGACTGTAAATATATTGCGTTGATTATATTGCAATGGAACTTTTCAGCGACATTTGGATTTACTTCGTACGTAAAAATACAACCAATTGATTGGGTTTTATAAAGGAAATAACTTTTTGCTTAATGGCACAGATTTTAACGTAAATATTGTTAGTATTTTACTCTATGTAATGATGAGTCAATGGTTTTTTACAGTAACAACAAATGAATAACAGTTTGAATTACTTTAATGTTTTTCAAAAAATTAAATTGTTACCCAATATTATATAGCTTCCTGATAAGTGTACAAGGCTTCATTGAGTTCAAATCTCTTCAAACAAATATCACACTCTTAGTGTTTATCACAACCGTGTATTGTACTTTTGTGCCTATTGAGATTAGATTTTAATCCAAATGATTTTTGACAAAGATCACATTCGAATAGTCTTTTAAGATCATGCACTGCATTTTTGTGCCTCTTGAGAGTAGATTTTAATCCAAATGATTTTTGACACATCTGACACTCAAACGGTTTACTACAATCATGTACTGTACTTATGTGAGTTTTGAGGACCCTTTTGTATCCAAATGATTTACGGCAAATGTCACATCTAAAGGGTTTGCTTCGATTGTGAACTGCATATATATGAGTTGTGAGGTGCCCTTCACGTGAAAATGATTTATTACAGATGTCACATTGAAAGGGTTGGTTATGATGATGTAGTCCATTTGCATGAGATTCCAGAGTACTTTTCAGTCCAAATGATTTATAACAAATTTCACATTCGAAGGGTTTGCTCAGATTGTGTACTGTATTTATGTGCCTTTTGAGATTTGTCTGGTATCCAAATAATTTGTGACATGTATCACATTCGAAGGGTTTGCTCCGATTATGGACTGTATTTATGTGAGCTTTGAGGTTACCTTTTAGACCAAATGATTTATGACAAATCACACATTCATATGGTCTAATGCCTTTATGTGTCAAATCTTTTTTATAAGTTTTATGACCCATTTTGCGCTCATGAAATAATTGAGTTCGATTCATTCTTCTAAATGCTTTGAACTTTTTAAATTTGTCTATGATTAACTGAAATTTTTCTAAAAACGGACACTTATTATCGTAATCAAATTCTTTTCTTATCAAAATTACCAGTTTCTTTCCATTCAAGTTATTTTTCGGATATTCGTTTTCTATTTTCACAATTGGTGCATCATTTTGGAACTCAGTTTTACAGGTGGTTGTTGATGAAGTCTTTGGTTCAGGTTTAACATATTTACACTCCAAATCGATGAATATTTTTTCATCTAACTTTTCCTGTAACGTCATAACCTGATTCATGTAATTTGCCTAAAATTAAAATTGTGTGATAGTTTTCGATGGTAAAAAGGCAGACGATAATTCAAATTATTTAACTCACTGATGATTCATAAAACGAAAGTGTATCAAAGTTTTTGGCTTCGCAAGGGTCTACTTTATCGAAACTGTATCCATCACCTGCATTTGGCCAAATATTGTAAGGCTCTTCCTTGACCCTGAAAAATCATTTATTAAGACGATCGGTTTAAAAAATATCATAGCATGCACAACAAATTTACTACGTACTTAATCGAGTCCAGTATGTTTTCCATCACTCGCTCAATCAAATGTAATCACTGCGAATTTTCACTATACACACTGAAAAAATATTTGAGGTTAACCACCATGAACAGCCAACACTATACCTTGAACTTATCAATTTGTACACATTTGCTCACTGCAGAAATTCAGCTTCTCACCAACCACTGTATGGACTCGTGTATTAACGAGTAAAACCCCACGATTGTTACAGCTTTTCGACAATACTTTTCCCTTCCCACATCTACTTGTTGTGCGACACTTTTGATGCGCAATACAAAAAAATTGTAGGTTAATTCTCGATCCTAAATATAATATTCTTTGAAATGGTGAATGAAGAAATCACGTAAGACCCTTCTACACTGAAAATTTGTTTGCAGCCGCGAATCAAAACAATCGACCATCAGTGTATGTAGGTCAGTGTATATAGGTCAGTAAATGTAGGTATCAGTGTATATCAGTGTATATAGGTACTCGTACATATCGTTATAAATTACACTGAAATTCTAATGAAAATTTCTTCATATTAAGTATATTATACTGAATTATCCATTGATTCAATCCACTTATTTGATCCAATACCCGATCAAATAAGTTGATTTTTTAGAATTTCGGTATTTCTTTATAAAATTACAACAAATAATTAAAGTGTTTATTAAAATTTTTGACATTAAAAAAGTGAGTATTGGTAAAATTATTTAAATTCACAAAGAATTTTGAAAAAATAGCTCAGCTGCCATTTTTAATTAAAAAGTGCCTATCTAAAACTGGCCAAAAATTGGTTTTGAGAAAAATCTTTTTTTACCAATATCCGGCTACTTTAAAATACGATGTATTTTCATTGTTTTGTTTTAAAGACACTTAGAAAAAACAAAAATTACAATTGTTGACTTATAATTAACTCGGCTATATATCATTAAAATAATTTTAAAACTTTTGTAAACGTTTATATGACTTGAATAAAGATGACCGGATATCAGTATCACCCAATGTAAATCCATTCTTCCAAAATCAATTAACATTTCAATACATTATAAGAAAAAATCAATTATTTTTGTGTTGCACGTAAATGTAACGTTATTAGGAGTAACTTCTTTGATGTAATGTAATGAATAGAGTACGATGTATTTTATAAAACACCGGAATTTAATGTCTATTGTAATAATGAAAAATAAACATTATCTCTCTCTCTCTCTTGTCAATACGGTCAATCGACGAGTTATCTGCGTTCAGCCTGTGCCTAAATGAAGACCAGTGCGATCTTATCTCACGAAAATTTAGTTTGAGTACGTTCGATTGTATAGAAAAAGATAATAGTCTGATAGCAAAAATGAGTTCAGTCATACATGAGAGATCTAGAAATATCGCGCGAATTTCATTTAGTGCTGTTTCGAGATTCGCGCAACGTAGCCATGAGTCGCACTAGGTTGATTTTTGTTTTGAGCTTTGTAGCTGCTGTGTTGATAATTATCATTGTTAGCGCTGTCTTCCTAAACAGGACTCGCCATGTAGTCCACACTTCGAGTCCATTTGTAATTGTTGAAACTAATAAAGTCCACTCCGGTCCAGATGTGCACTTAGGTTTGACAATAGGAGGAGGAGGAGGAGGAGGCGGCCCAACACATATTCTTCCGCAGCCAATTCATACTCCTCCTATGAATAACCATCCGACAATTATAAATATAAAACCCAGTGCCTCTATCTCAGTGGGAAAACCTGGTTCAAGCCATAGACCTATGATACAACCTACGGCTTCGAAACAGCATTCGTCTTCGAAACACCATACAGTGGGTGGAGGGCATCCTAAACCACATCATCCGCGTCCAAAACCGAGTCACGGATAAAAATTTTGACTCCTTGGGATATGTTTAAATGAGTGTAGAAAGAAGATAAGACATGTGATTCAGAGGAAAGAGTTTTAATTATCAAGTGTGTGACAATTGTTAATATCGATGATATTTTTCAAGTTTTACGTGTTTCAAAGAATATTCTGTAAATGGCATGGTCTTACTACTTCCAAAAATGTATTAAAAATAGTAAAAAAAATATCACAAGCAAATATTGATTAAAATTATTCAAAACTCAAATAATAAGAAGAATTTTAATGTATATGTCACACGCGATAGAATTTTTTAAATGTTCAATGAAATCGATTATTTACATACTGAATTTACTAATTTCAATCATCTATACAAAGTTGAATCCAAAAGCTCCTGCATTATAAATTATAAAAATATTTAAAAAAACTTATAATAATAAATATAATCTGAAATCTTACGATTACTTTTTAATATTTGGATATTTTTGATTGGTCATCCAAATTTCATAATTAGTATGCATCTTCTAAAAAGTGTCTAAATATAATCGAACATGGTTTGAAGAAATATCTACACCGAGATGATGGTCGATTCTTTAAGAGTATTTGCTATTGAGATCATTGAGCTTAACTTAATCAATATAATTATATGCAAAATTAGTATCGGAAATTGCGAATAAACGATCGCACTTTACAGTATAAAGCCAATCCCATGAAATCTACATCGATGGTTTCATAAACATGAGATAACGAAGCTTTATAACAGTTGAGTGTTTTATCGTGTAGCCAATACGTTGATTCATTTCCTATACGCAATCAAAAATTATCTTTTTGAAGAATCTGAAAATCTTCTTATACTCGATACAATCGTACGAAGTTTAAAATAATGTAAAACAGACTAGACTTTATTCCCTTGTCCGTTCTCTTGTTTGGAGGGCTTAAACAAAAATCTTAATGATAAACTGAGCTGTTGGGGCTTCTTGGAGGACTTTTGTCACCTAAGCAAGTCAAATTTTAAATCCTGTGATATGACGTTAATCTAGGGCCAATAATCAAATAATTGAATAATTTACTATCATAAAACTTCGATGAAATATAAATAATTTTTTCCGACACTGAAATTTTATCAAAATCTTGCAAAAGAAATGTTCTCTCTTCGCACTCATCAGAATCAAAGCTTGGCAATGGTATTCATTTCATCTTTATCACGTCGCGATCTCTGGTTGGAATTCGCCCTCTAATGCAACAAATTTTCTCCTCGATAAATCGGATTTTCTAAAAAAAAAAGTAAGTAAAATAAAAATATTCGGCTTGGTCGTTCGAGAAAGCGATAATACAACGCAGTATTATATAAAATTCTCTCTCGAGTACGGCACGTATCGTTGGCACTCCGTATAATATCAACAGCAGTAGTGAAGCAGCTGCAGCAGCAGTACCTTTACGATCAAGTATATCTTTTTTAGCAAGCGAGGGTGAGTGTGCGCGCCTCGCACTCATTCAGTCACTTACGCGCAATTAACTCCGTGTGGATGGAGCTTTATATACAATAGATATAAGTCGCAGCTTTCTCGCTCTCTCTCTCACTCTCCTGCAGCAGAGAACAAGAGACATACACCTCATCAAAATCGATCCTTTAAAGGAAGTCCTTTAAGGTTTTGGTAGCGCGTCATGCGGGTGCGCGCAGCTTGCGCGAGGCATAGAGAGCACTACTGCACACACACACAGTTAAGAGTTACTCGCTATATATATATAGCAGCGCTAGCACGAGCGAAAAAGCTCCCGTGTGATAACACTTGTCGTTTCACATGTGCTCGCTCGTTGGTATTGGGCGGTTAACTCCCGTAGAGTTCTAACTCTAGCCAAGTGTACAAGGACGATGTATCCGTGTAATCGGGGAAAACGACATTTAGACGCGTGATGCCGCTGCTGCTTGAACGTTGTAGCTTACGTGAGTGTAGGCGAGTGAGTGAGGGAGGAAGCTCAAGGATCAAATTATACAAATGCTCACCACAGAAAGTTTGCCTAATCGAAATTACATTTTTCTTCATTTGACAAATTTTCTTTGATTCAGAAATGTTTAGAAGTGATATTAGCGCTTTATAAATGTTATTTTTAGCTCGCACTCGAACGCCGGTTCCGCGCACACGAATAAAAAAAAGGGGGGAACAAACACGCAAAGTATTCACGCATCCAAATAGCCGATGTACGCGTACTTGGAACATTTCGCCGGGTTAATGCCCACGATACAAGGCGCGCTCACCGAGTATCCGCGGGTGTTTGTTAAATTGTAAACAGCATCACGAGGAAAGTTGTGCGCGTGCCATGCGCGAATGTGCCATAGTGCCACCCGGGGATAGAACACGATCCTAGGCACAAAAAAAGATCCAACTAACACAGAATGATGTAAGCCAGTTGTATGCAGTAGCCCCATTGGGAGAGTAGGAAAGTCACTATATCCTCGTGCGTGTGTCTGTGTCTGTGTGTGGGTTGGCACGCCAAGTAAACGACGATGCATCGAAACGATTTGTTTAGCTATATAGGGTGCTATACGTCGAGCAGATAGTGACGGGATGTCCTCTCTCTCTCTCTCTCTCTCTCTCTCTCTCTCTCTCTCTCTCTCTCTATGTATATGTGTGTCGCATACATACACGTGCTCGAAACAATGCAATAATAGTCCGAGCGGCAGTTCATTAAGTGGCAGGCCAGGATACGCTTATATACACGGTATATACGACCGGCCCCAATGCCTCTGCTCTCTGCGTATTTGCTCGTCGTCACCGTGGTCCTCGTCATGATTGCCGTATATATCTTGACTCCTACGCCTTTGAAGTTTTCTCTTTCTCTCTCTCTCTCTCTCGCAATGCCAATTGCACCCGTACGTATTTAGTTTCCTCCGTGACTACTCCGGCGCACGATACGCGTGTACGACTATAGGTGGGTAAATTCATTCGTGTGCGTGTGATTTTCTTTTAATCGCGTTTACTTTATGGCTTTTAGCTGTGGTGTTCGCAGCAGTAGCCAGGCAATACGTGTCGGCATGCCGAGTCCGCCAATAACAATGTTTATATCGACGACGGAATACGATTATGGGGTTTTAGACTTGCGCGCGTTGTTTATGCCCCAATTAGCAGCTCGCTCTCGCCCTAGGAGGAAGCAGCGCCGCGTATATCCCCGCAGTACAAGTTAATGACTCTGTGCCCGATGCGGTTTGCAGTTTGCCCCGGCCCTTTTACGATACCGGTACGTATACCAGAGACTG